AACTGCCACACAGCCAGAGGAATGATGCTGTGTGCAGTCGTACCTGCTGCAAGAATGCACAGCACATTCCATCAATCTCGCTTGGCTTTACCAGGGATTGGATTCCTGCTAGCTTCCTCCTTCCTCCTACCAGCTGCTGCATCAGGAGAGCAGTGAATAGAGGTGTGTGTGTGTGTGTGTGTGTGTGTGTGTGTGTGTGTGTGTGTGCGCGCACGCGCGCGCTTGGCTGCACACAGGTTCACAAGCATGCACTTGGGAGCACTTATAAATGTCATGCTACACATGAAGAGGTCAGAGAACAGCTTTAGGGAGTTAGTTTTTTCCCTCCATTTGAAAACCAAACTCAAGTCACCAGGCCTGAGCAGGAAGCTGTCTACCTATTTGAGACAGGGAGTTGCCCTATAATCCAGGCTAGCTTCTGTAGCAACCCTCTGTCTTCAGCATCCTGAGTGGTAGGATTATAAATGAACACCATTGTACTAGCTGAGCGGACCCCCCGCCCCCAGGACTAAGTTCTATAGACATTGCCTTATGCCTTGCTTGCCTGCTCATTTCTCACTGACAGGACAGACAGCCTCCACACTGTGAGCTGCCCTGTGGTCCCTGTGTTGAGGAGCTGAGAACACTCTCCAGTCAGCAGCCAGGGACAAACTGGCATCTTAGTTCAACAACCCAACAACCCAACCATCTCTTGAGTTTGAAAGCTGCCCCACCCCTACTCAAGCCTAGGTGAAACCCTAGCCTTAGCCAGCAGTGGGATTCATCACAGTTCTAGCTGAGACCTTGAGCCAGAGAAGCAGCCAACACATGCTGATTGTTTACACTGGAAGAATTAGAAGGAATCTGTTGTATGGCCATGCACAGCTCATAGACAAGGCTAATGGTCAGATCATGACTGTAATGTCAGCATTTGACACAACAAATTGTTCATCAGCTGAGGAGTAGGTAAATGACCAGGATTCAGAATACAGTGGGATACTCAGTCACCATTAAAATGCAGGAGAAGCCAGATACAGTGAACACACACTGTGTAGTCCCAGCACCCTGTAAGGAGAGGCAAGAGGAACAGAAATTCAACGTTGCCAGGGGACAGTGTCACAGAACTTAAATCCCAGCTGTGTGAAGGCAGAGGCAGGAGGATCTTTGAGATCAAAGCCAGCCTGATTTATAGAGTGAGTTCCAGGACAGCCAGGGTTACACAGAGAAATCCTGTTACAAATTCAATCTTAAATTAATTAACTAATTACTAATTAGTTAAGTTGTGTGTGTGTGTGTGTGTGTGTGTGTGTGAGAGAGAGAGAGAGAGAGAGAGAGAGAGAGAGAGAGAGAGAGAGAGAGCACTTTTGTGCACATGTGGAGGTCCGAGGACAACTCTGTGCAGTCAGGTCTCTCCTTCTACCTTTAAATGGGTTCCAGGAATTGAACTCAGGTCTACAGGCTTGCATCATGGGCTGCATCTTACTAGCCCACAAACTCCATTTGAAAACTGGGAATGTAGCAAGATGGTGGTGGTGCACATCTTTTATGCCTTTAACATCAGCGCTCAGAAGCAGAGGCAGGTGAATATCTGAGTTGGAGGCAGGCCTAGTCTACAGAGTGAATTCCAGGAGAGCCAGAGACCACAAAGAACCCTGTCTCAGAAAAATGAAAACAAAAAACTATAAAAGAAAGAAAGAAAGCGAATGTCCAACAGATGTGCCCGCAGGCCAATATGATGCAGGCCATCCTTTAGCTGAGGCTCTCCCTACCTAGTGTGTGAAGCTGACAATCAACCATCACAGGGGCTGGAGAGATGGCTCAGCACTTAAGAGCACTTTCTGCTCTTCCTGAGGACCAGAGGTCAATTCTCTGCACTCATAGGGTGGCTGGGGAACAGTGTCTGCTGTCCCAATGCCCTCTCATTTATTGGTTTGGTCATCTCTCATGTACCCACTAACTTAGTACCCCAGCACCTCCTTTTCCCCACTCTCAAATCTTATTGGATAAAAACCATGTAGGGGTGAGTTGAGTTGGTTGTCTCCACACTCAAGACCCCCCTACCCTTCCAGCAGGACTCTGGACAACCACTACAAGCTAGGACCGGTCACTGTGCCTGTGCAGGAGGCTCTAGCTGCACCAGTTGCTCACCAGGTCTGACCTTGGGAAGGGCAAGGCCTGAGCTTTGGGACCCAAGTTGGGGTGGGAGGTGGAAAGGAGGAGGACTGGCCACCTGTTCAGTAAAGGAAAAGAGATGGTGATACACATAGCCTTAATCCAGCCAATGAGACATCTTGTTCCTAAATCTAATTGATCAGGGAACCAGAAATTAACCTGGTTATACCTACAGGGTCTCATGATAAAATTAGAGAAGATGATGTGTTCTGTTTTGTTTGTTTAAAAAGTTAGGCTGTTGTGTACTTTAGCAGGACAACTATCCTGTGGCATGTGTTTAGTGAAGACTGGAAGGTCACCAGGATGTAATCCTGCCTTCAGGCCATTTACTGACAATCCCCTGTGGTTTCCTATATCCAACTTCTTTTAATGAGCACACAGCAGAAGCTCTTTGGGTTCCGTATTTTTAGGGCCAAGATGTCCTTTTAGTGCCCATATGACACTGCTTCTTTCTCTCCTCTCCCCTCCTACCTCTCTGTCTTCTCTTTCCTTCCCTTCCCTTCCCATCCCTACCCTTCTTTCCTTTCCTGATCTCTGCCTCATCTCTCCCCTCTCCTCCTTCTCTGTCTACCCCGAGCCCCCTGTATATCTCAGGCTTAGTTCTTCTTTTGTTGTAGTTTTTTAGACAGGGTTTCTTTGTGTAATAATCCTGGCCATTCTGGAACACAATTTTTAGAACAAAATGTCCTTGAACTCAAGAGAGCTGCATGCCTCTATCACTTTCTCTCATCCCATGTACTGGGATGGAAGGCATGGCTGGGCTCATCACCCACTCTTCAGGGTGCTCCCTTAATGGCACTGTCTTTCCTATTAATCTTCAACTTCCAGAGTAGAGGGAACGATGTTCTCTGAAGATCTATTTATGTTTTGTAGACAAAGAATACAATCACCATAGCTGAGTTCTTTCAATTGGTGCTTTATTACAGTGTGTAGTGAATACAACCAGGCAGACAGGGATGGTGTACCAGTAACTAACTGACAAGGAATTTCTAACAGTGATCACCTTGGTAATCCTTATTGTATGAGGTCTTGGAGATGCAGATGGCGGCCTGGCGGTCACAGTTACAGATGAAATCCTCACAGGGGTCGTTTTCATCTGCAGAGAAACAAGAAAGGAAGTTGAGTAGAGCCAATGACCCTGCTCCCTACGATTTGTAACCAAGAGAAATGGTAGACCTGTACAGAGTCAGGATTGAGAGATGAAGCACACAAAAAGACATTGGGTTGTCCAAATTGTGGGAACACACTTGTAATAAGAACATTAGTTGTTGTTGGCTGTGGAGATAGCACAGTTGGTAAAGTGGTTGCCATACAAGCATGAGGGCCTGACCTAGGATGCCCAGAGACCATGTAAATAGTAAGGTGTGGTTGGGGCATCTGTAATTCTATTGGGAAGTTGGGAGCATGGGTCCCCAAAGCTTGTTGGGGATTAGTCAGGCTAGCTAAAGGTGAGTGTCATGTTTAGTGCGAGAGAGACCCAGCCTCTAAAGACATGGTAGAGAGTGATTGAAGAAGACAGAGGATAACAACCTATTCCTGTACATAAAAATCAATAAACAAAGATATTGAATCCTAAAACCTGGAAAACACAAGTATCAACTATCACTTCTAGAATTATATGATTTAAGACAATGCTGCCTCCACCTCCCAAGTGCTGGGATTACAGGTGTGCACCACCACACTCAATTCATGCGTTCTGGAGGTGGAACCCAAGGCTCTGTGTATGCTAGGCAAGGACCCCAGGAACTATATCCCCAGCCCTCTGAATCCTCATCTGTAAAATGGGAAGGATAAATTTTGCCCTATTTAGCTGTTTAGTCCGGTATTTGGCTTATAGCCAAAGATACAGCTTTCAATTATTTAGTCAATATGGAATCAGTATAACACAGCAGCTAATAGGAGAGGCTTTGGGCAGGCAAGATGGCTCAGGGAATAAACACCCTTGCTGCCAAGTCTGAACCCAAGTTCCATCCCCAGGAGTCATGTGGTCAAAGGAGAGAACCAACTTCTGCAAGTTGTCCTGAGACCTGCACACCTGTGTTGTTGCACAGGCATGCCTACCCCAAAAATACATAAAATCTTGAAACGTTTTTGAAAAGGCTTTGGAATGATGTAGATCTGTTTCCAGAACCAAATGCCATCACTTCTAAGCTGGGTGGCCTTGGGCGATTGGCCCTGCCTTCCTCATCTGCCTCATTAGTGACCTCATCTATATTTTAGTATCTAGCTGATAAGGTTGTTGTGAGGTTAAATGAGACCAAGGAAATGACCACTACATGGTGGCTGTCCTTGTCATTTCTGTGTCCCTTCCAAACCTGCCCAGGGCAGAGTCCAGAGGTCCTGGAGTGCAACCCTACCACTGCAGGTGATCTCCCTTCCAGAGCAGGAGTATGAGTAGGGACTGCTGTAGGGGTTTCTTATGAGGAATTTGCAGCTTTCCATCTTCTTGACTTGAGCATAGCAGTTGTCATGAATCTTGCAGCACCTGGAGAGAGGAAGGAGCAGCTGAGGGAGAACTATGGACCCACAGGAGGTCAGTTCTCACCTGCAGTCTTTCTCAAACATGTCAGAATGATTTAAACATGATGTTCCAGAAGAAATGTTCCTGAGGCTTGACAATCTGTGATTTCTGTTAGCATTTATTTACTGAAAGTAGGTTCTGTGGAGTGTGGTTGGTAAAGGTTTTTAATTCCAGTACTTGGGAGGCAGAAGCAGATGGATCTTTGAGTTTGAGGTCAGTCAAGGATGCATAAGTGAAACCCTGTTTGACAAAAAGTGATTTTTTTAAAACAAAGTTTCAGGAAGATAATGAAAGTATATATTCTGAAGTTGTGAGGATATTTTAAAGCCAAGGCAAACACTTTGATTGTGACTGTGATAGTTGGCCATGCCCCTGTCTGGTGCCTGAGGCCACCTATGTCCACTATTTACATCTCACACATTCTATTTCAGACTACTAGTTACAGGGTCCTCTTGGACTGGGATTTCTTTTCATGACAGGAGGGGAAAATACATGCTGGGGGTGCACACCTTAATTCTCAGCACTCCCGAGGCAGAGGCTTCTAAATCTCTGATTTCAAGGCCAGCAGGGTCCAGAGAGAGTTCCAGAACAACTAGGGCTACACAGAGAACTCTTGTCTGGCAACAACAACAAAAAACACCAAACAAAAATACATAATGATTAAACAAGACAAACAGTGATATTTGGTTGAGTATTTATTTCTCCCATTTATGCCCCCATGAGATGCTCTGCTTGTGCCCTGTCCCCACACCAAAGAAGATAGTCCAGTCTCCAAACAAATGGATCATTCACCTGTCTAATTCTGCTGACCGGTCGTTCCAGTTGACAAAGGCACAGTAGCAGCCATAGTAATTGTACTCCGTGAATTTACTAATCCAAGGGATGGAGCACTTGAACGCATTGTCGAACTGCCACACAGCCCGAGGGCTGATGCTGATTGCAGTAGCGCCTGCTGCAAGAATGCACAGCAACTCCATCAATCCCACTGTGCATTACCAGGGGTCTGATGCCTGCCTGCTAGCTTCCTCCTTGACTCCCACCAGTTGTTGCATCAGGAGAGCAGTGAATAGAGGTGTGTGTGTGCGTGCATGCGTGCGTGCTTGCGTGTATGTGTGTGTGTGTGTGTGTGTGTGTGTGTGTGTGCTTGCGTGCTTGTGTGTGTGTGTGTGTCTGTGTGTGTGTGTGTGTCTGTGTCTGTGTGTGTCTGTGTCTGTGTCTGTGTGTGTCTGTGTTTACCCACACATGGTTCACAAACACTCACTTGAGAGCACTCATAAATGTCATGCTACACATGAGGAGGTCAGAGGACAGGTTTAGGGGCTTGGTTTTCTTCCTCTACTAAGTAGGTCTTGGAGACTAAACTCAAATCACCAGGCCTGAGTAGGAAGTGTCTACCTGTTTGAGACAGGGAGCTGCCCTGTAACCAGACTAGTCTCTGACTCTGTAGGAACCCTCTGGCATCGGCTTTCCGAGTGGTAGAATTGTAAATAAACAATGCTGTACTGGGATGAGCTGACTCCCCAGGACTAAGGTCTATAGACATTGCCTTTTGCCTTGCTTGCCTGCTCATTTCTCAAGGTCAGGACAGACAGACACCACACTGTGACCTGCCCTGGGGTCCCTGTGTTGAGGAGCTGAGAACACACTCAAGTCAGCAGCCAGGGACAAACTGACATCTTAGATCAATAACCCCACAATCCAACCATCTCTTGAGTTTGAAAGCTGCCCCACCCCTACTCAAGCCTAGGTGAAATCCTAGCCTTAGCCAGCAGTGGGATTCATCACAGTTCTA